GGCCGTCGACTCCAAAGCTCTTGCCGTTGTCGAAAGTAAGCTCTCTAATTAGTTTACATGATATAATAATCTTCTCTACTTGTAAGGATTTGATTTATGTTTATGATGAATTAATGATGTATTAAAAAAAAAAAAAATTTGAATCTGTCGTTCAAGATGTAACGGATTAGCTAGAAAAATCAGTCTTATAATTAGAACTAATTCATGGCAATTCCATTTTTGTTTCAAGAGAATTAGGTTATTTTGAATGTATAATTGGAGATTTAAGAGTATGATTATTTCTTTTTCCTATTAGAGGAGATAATATTAAATTAATAATCTGCTTTTTTAAGTTTAGTGTTGATCAAAAGTAAATGGAATAATGACAATTCGTTGTGGACAGCTATGGATTTAAGAAAAGTGGTTTACTTTCCTAATTTTCTTACATGATTCGATTCTGTAAAGTTGCTTAACTCTTGGAAAATAACAATTAAGTACCAGCTTTTTAAACAATTATTTTAATCCAATCGCATTGATTCTTCTTTAATTTATTTTTTTTTTAACTAAAGTTAAGTTCTTTGAACTTTGATGTTGTGTTCTGCTTTACTTTTGTGTGAACTTTCATCAACTCCTATTTCAAAACTAATTTGCAATGAATCGATTAATAATCGATGACCTTATATGATTGATCAGCAGTTTAGATTTAGAGCCTCGGTTATCTGTAACGATATCTTTTTACGTTTTCAATTGGCATTTTACATTAGCAATATGTTAAACTTATAAGTGAGCTTCTTGCAGAACCCATCGAGGAACCTACACCGAAGAAAAGTTCATCTGGATCGGTCGATAGAGGTGTGGGCTGAGCAACACTTTTTCTATATTGTGTACTTCATGGTTACTTACATTTCACTATTGACATCAAATATGGTGTTGTGTGTGTTTAATCAGACGTGATACTCGCGGATTTGGAAAAGGAGAAGAAAACATCATTCATCAAAGCATGGGAAGAGAGTGAGAAGTCAAAGGCTGAGAACAAGTAAAACTTTCTTAAATTTACCCAAAGATTACTACTTTTTTTTGCTCATTAGCTAAAGTTGTTGAAACTGATGTTAATGGGACAGGGCACAAAAGAAGATTTCTGATGTGCTTGCTTGGGAGAACACCAAGAAAGCAGCCACTGAAGCTCAACTAAGGAAGATCGAGGAAAAACTAGAGAGGAAAAAAGCAGAGTATGGTGAGAAAATGAAGAATAAAGTGGCGGCGATTCACAAGCAAGCAGAAGAGAAGAGGGCAATGGTTGAAGCTAAAAGAGGAGAAGAGCTTCTTAAAGCTGAAGAAATGGCTGCTAAGTATAGAGCCACTGGTATCGTTCCAAAGGCAACTTGTGGATGTTTCTAAATCCCTTTCTTATTATATTTGTTTCTCAGGTCATTGTTTGTAACAATTCATCTCTATTTTCCTCTCTTTTTTTGTGTTATTCCATTACT